TGAAAATGAACATTTTACCTAAATTTTTATTTCTTTTCCAAATGCTACCAAATACTTAAAAAAGATGTGAACCTGTTAGAATGGCAGAAGGGTATTAATAAATTTGTATGGGCAGGGAAGAAGCCAAGAGTAAAACTAAAAATAATGCAAGATGTGCGTGAGAGGGGAGGTTTGAAATTACCCAATTTAAAATTATACTATGACGCAGTAGCTTTATCTGTAATTAGTGATTGGATTAACAAATGATAGAATACTTAATATCGAGGGGCATGATTTGATATATGGCTGGCATGCTTACTTGCTATATAACAAAAAAGTAGACAAGAATTTTAAAAGTCATATTTTAAGGAATGCTCTGCTTCCCAGATGTGGCCACAGCTACGGGGCTGCCCCAAAGGATCTCCTGGTTGGGAAGGGGCACCAAGAGAAAGCAGGGCCACCAAAGGCCCAACTGCAGCCAGTAACGGGGTGGCAACAGGGTGTGAAGGAGTGAACACCCAGCAGAGCCGGGAGCGTGCCCAGGTCGGTGGGATGGCAGGGAGATTGCGGAGGCTTGGAGGCAGTGAAGGTCGAGACCATCCTGGGTGTCTGCAACGGGATGGTGGAAGATGGTTGGAGGCTCCCTGCCCGACCCCGTGGCCAGTTCCGGCCCACTTGAAAGGACCTCCGCTTGATGGAATGGGCACTGGGGGTCTTTTCTGCTACCAAGTCCACACAAAGCGGCCCAGCCTGGGCTTCTGTAGCATCCCTGGGGCAAATCGCAGCTTGCTAACTTCAGAAGGAAGCTGGGCAAGGTGAGGCTGAGCCGCGATGATTCATGTCAAGAAAGGAATAATCTAAATAATGTTTGGTTATTAAGTTGAACAGACATTGGAGGCCAGGCCGGTCTGGCCTGCTCAGTTGCCACTTTCCCATCTGGCTGACCAGCTGACCAGATGGAGCCCCAGTTGCTGCCAGAGGGGTGGGGGACTAGGCTAGCATAAATGCTGCTTACCTGTGTGTAGGCAGGAGGCGACAGTTCTCTGGATCCACATGGTGAAGGTGAGGCAGGACAAGTGGGCAGGCATGACAAACCAGTGCAATAAAAATTGCTCTGTGGATGTGCAGAAGGAAAAGCCAAGAGGGCAGCGCCATAGACGCCATTTAAGGGACATGGCAGGCCTGGGTCGCTACCAGTTCCAGCAATCCAGGCCACCAAGTTGTTACCTATATGTTCGAATCTGTCCTATATTTTCATTACAAAATATCCCCATCAAATGATTCATGTCAAGAAAGGAATAATCTAAATAATGTTTGGTTATTAAGTTTATCATAATTTAATTCACCATCTGCAGCTGCAATATGAATAGCTTCTATGTTTCTCAGAATTGATCTTAGGAGATCAAGTTTCATGATTTATGAATATACAATTACTGCTTATCTTTTTAAAGTTCATGTCATTTACATTCCATGATTTCTACTATTGGGTTCAGATCTGTTTCAAACTTAGTGTAGTCCAACCAACTTCTCCCTTTGCTCTAAATTCATTGAAACATGTTTATTGTATTAAGTAAGCACATAATGAAAATGAAAGAAAATGAAAGTATATGAATCTTTGATTCTTTAGTTCCTCCATTAATTTTATCATTTTTTTTCTATTAAACTGACTGTTATAGCCTACCTGGATAACCATTTCCATCCATATCAACTTCTCCAGAAATGGACTGGCCAAACATCTGCAACCATGGACTTAACTTTTTTCCAGATATCCTCTGCAACAAGCAATTCAGAACTTAAATCAATCAAACCAATCAAAAACACAATATTTATGTGTTATATACTTGATAAGATTCATTGCAAATTTATCTATTGATAGAATTCAGCTGATTGGTTCTGAACCATGTATTATCTCCAAATTATACAAATGAGAAAGATGGTTTATACAAAGGCATATATACACTGATATCAATGCTATCATACATATTTTATTTATTCATTTAATGTGTATGTTGCCCCTCTCAATGCCAAGCAATTCTGATGGCTTACAACATTATCAAGCAAAAATATTAAAGTATTCAACATTAAAAATGAACAAAAGTTAATTAAGTTAGGGACCAGTATACAAATGGAGTGGAGCTGGCATCTTTATTAACAATCTCTCCATTAATCACATCAAGCGTAGATTTCTCCATCAAGACGGCAGGCCAACTGGCAGAGCAGGCTTTGAGTGTATCCCAAAAATGCTACTTCAAAAGGCAACTGGACTTTTTTTTCCTTGAAAATAATTCTCTTCTTGACCAATGGGGTCAAGATGCAAAATTTTCTACACTAGGGCATTACAACTGTCTCTAATGCACTAATACTAAGCCTCCTTTGTTTGAGAAGTACTAGATTTTTTGTTTCTTTCAGCAGACATATACTGGCTGTATTATATTGCATAAATCAGAAAAAAATGAGGCCATATCCCATTGAACAAATTGTTGACTCTTCTTCCCTACTTGTCCAATGGTGATGATTCGCAGTTCACCATTAGTTCCATAACATTACAATTAATGGGCTTGTTAGATTATACAGGTTAGTTATGTTGAAAAATAATAGTAGTGTCTTGCTACAAGGATGAACAAATAAGGACAATTAATATATTTTTAAATGTAAACATACAGGAACTATCTTTACAAGGAAATCATTAGTCTCTGACTCCTATTCTATTCATCCAAAACTTGCAATGCAGATGTTCATGTGTAATAAGCCTCTGCTCATCCACAAAACAAATATAAGAATTTTACTGGAGAACATTGTCCATTCTATAGGAGATTGATATTTCTTTGTAAGAGATGGGAATGCAACATTCTGAATTTTTGTTTTAGTTTATCCATTTTCCACTCACAAAATGGAACTCTAAATAAAAAGAACAATAGCCCCTCCCATTGTCAGATGGGAGAAATGGGGAAAAACTGCAGATATAAAAGCGGGAGAAGGAGCTTATAAATCTTCTATTCCAAAAAAAGTTATAAAGAAAATGTTGTCACTTTTGGAAATGAAGGCAACAGAAAGCAGCTAGATTCCTCAAATTACATTTACACAAGAGAATGTGCCTTGGATTTTGCAGGGGGTCCCCATTAGGATGGTAAGAACACAGCTATACAATACTTATCCCACAGACATCTGCAGGCTATTAGAATTCAGGTTGGAGAATAATTCTACACAGCTTGGAGAGCTGCAAATGAAACCAAGGGCCAGAAAACTGAGCTTGATAGTATTTATTTAATAGAGACCAGTATCTGCCAGCTTCTTAAGGTATTTCTGCTATGCCCAGGATTTTGCTATATCATTTGCTGTATCATTTGCTTTGTAAAATTTTATCACAGCATCTGTAACTAAATGCCTCTTTCATCGTAATACGCAACAGTTGTGTAGTGTGTGTGTGTGTGTGTGTGTGTGAGTGAGAGAGAGAGGGGGGGAGGGAGGGAGCGAAGGAGGGAGGGAGGAAAGAAAGGAGAATGTTTTACAAAATCGACAGCATCTGGATGGTTCAGCAACCAGGCCCAAATCTTTCACCCTAATGTTACTGGTTCCAACAGATGCCAGGTAGGCAGACATTACAAATTAAACATCTAAAAGTGTTTGAAGGATTTGTGAGGCAAGTAAATGGCTGACCTACAGCCCTATCCATGAGAGAATGACAACGCAATATAATATAATCATCAGAAGCTTGAGGCAAAAAAGAGAAAGAAAAAAATGAGATCAAAGAGAAAAATGGAACATTATGGGCAAGAACATTTTCTAAAAACCAAAAAAGATTCAGTGGTTATTTTAACTGTTTGCCAATATTAATCTCACTTTGTATAAAATTCTAATATTGCCTCAAATGTGGGGGGAAAGCAAACATTTCCTCTTCTACATGCAGATATCCTTAGCCAAACTAACATTATGCATCTGAATCCGTTCTGATATTTCCACTCTCCTCCCCATGGACAGAAATAATTGTCCATGCATCACAAATTATCACTTTCACAAACTATCATAAAAAGGAATTTAGCATATGTTATTGTGTTTTAAAGGAGAGTTAATGAATTCTAAAACAGTCAGCAAACAGCAGAACTAATCATCTGCAGACTTCTCAAATGATCTCAGAGGCAATCATTAACCTCTGACTTAGCATCCCTCATAAACCCCACCCAGCAACAAAGAAAAATATTTAGATCAGTAATTTAAACAGCGGATTAAAAAAAATTCCCCCCTACCAAGCCCTTTCAAAAGCAAAAATGCAACACTAACCAGCTTGGGACAATAGGCTCATATTGTGATCTAGTAACACACATTCTGAAAAATCAATATTTATTAAAAGTAGCAGAATTGGTTTTAACTTCCACTATTACAGCCAAGAATCTAAGATGAAATCAATAGAAAAACTTTCTAGAAAGGCAGAAAGAAAATAGTTGAATAGATATTAAATCAAGTTGTTGTTTTCCTTATTTTAGCCCATAAAATCTTGTTATGGCATGTTATTTATTTATTTTTATTTATAACCCACCTTTATTATTTTTACTAATAACTCAAGGCAGCGAACATATCTAACACACCTTCTTCCTCCAATTTTCCCCACAACAAATGTGTGAGGTGGATTGGATTGAAAAAAAGTGATTGGCTCTAAATCACCCAGCTGACTTTCATGGTAAGGCAGGACTTAAATTCATAGTCTCACTTTCTAGATTGGTGCCAAGCATGAGATTTTAAAATGAAAATTAAAAAAACAATGTGCTTATGGACCTTCCCTTTTCTCTTTTTTTTCTGTTTATTTTGGGCTTGGGAGTTTGGATATTTTTTTGCCTTGATTTCTTTTTATTGTAGGAGAAGGACTTGCAAAACCAAGTGAGAGATGAAAAGAGGGATCAGAGGAGAATCACTACTGTAGCCACAAGTGAACTAAATCCAACTCCCCCCTTGATTGCTGATGACCCTTCTCTAACCAGATTCTAACCATTCCTTGAGAATATTCCTATGTATAAGCTTTTAGCAATAACTCAGTTAAATCATGTGTGAAACTGGTCGTTTAAGCAATAGGCCACTACCTAACTTTTAGATCTGTCCTAATTTAGCTTGCCATATTCTTGCAAATACTTATAAGATTTAATACTTACCATGGAATATCGAGGAATGATGCCCCCAATGTATCCATGATAAATATATACTGCTCCGGCATAGTCATCTTCTTTAGGAGCACCAATGGCAACATCTACGAAAGGCCAAGCAATATAAGAAGTGAAGGTGAATTCTTCTAGTTCTGAAAGTAGTTTTTTTTTCAGCCTACCTTCTTTAACATAAAGGTAGGAGCAACTGGCTTAGTGGCAATGAAATTTGCAGAATATTACTTCATTTCATAAACACTGGATTTCTAAAGTTAAACAAACCCTCAGATTTGAATTTCACCTAATAAAAACATGTGTTTAGTTTCTATAAATAATACCAATTATGCACAGGAGAATACTTACCCATCTTGGCTTGCTTGCAAGGCAGATCTTAGGTAATGGTAGATAAATCTATTAGTTGCACAGAGAATATAATTCCCTACCACATAGCCAATGCACAGTATAATCTCTGTCAAATCGTTTTCAAAATGTCCAGGTCATTAAAAGTAACAAATTTAGCAGAGATGGCTAAAATATCAGCATATCTCAAAGATCATTCAGACGAGAAATACAAGAAGATAGATTGATTATATTCAAAATAAATACGGGACTAAGAAATTCCAGATAGCTTATGACTGAAAAAGCAAGAAATGATATAATTTGTTTAGAGTTAGCTTAACAAAAGAGGAGTTAAAGCACAAATGAAAGATGATGCTAAGTTTCTTTTAGTTTATTTTAGAATATGATTGTTAAAGATGTACACCCTGTATTTGCTCTGGGAAGTCGGGGGGGGGGGGATTGGGGGATAGATGGGTTCAGGTGGGGAGGGGAGGTAAATATTTGTAAAAGCTTTTTTTTAAAATTTCAATAAAAAAATGTCCAGGTCTTCAAAACATTATGATTATGTAAATTAGGTTGGATATGGGATTCAACATACAATCTAAATGTATGTTTTTTGTTGTTTTATTTTGTCTAGACAACATACAATTAGATCATTTAAGCTAGTTCAAATTGTATTTATTAACACATTGCGAAGTTGGTTAAAAATCACAACTGGAAATTTTAATCAATAGAAAAAAAACTTCCTATAATTTAATTAGCAGGAGCCAGTTTTAGTTGCATGTGTTAAGGGTTAAGTATAAATTATTTCTAAACTAGTTTTTCCCCCCATGGTCCCTGTTTTTTTTTTTCCTATTCAGTTCCCATTATAAGAACTGCCCAATATTTTAATCCAATTCAGCTTGAAGTTGCTTATTTTCCTCTCTTTACTACTGTTTGTCCCTTTTAGACCACTTAGACTACATTAGGAAAAATCAACTTCTTTCAAAAATTTGAGGTACAGTATTGAAAGAAATTAATTCCAACACCAGAGATTTTAAAAAGGAGCCCCCGCTTTCCTATTTTACTTACACATAAATGAGGCCCTTGGACATGCTAGACAACAAATATCACTCTTAAGCCAAAAATAACCCCCAGCGCACTTGTCTCTTTATTATATCAACAAATTATATACATATAATTATAATAGTTCAATATTATTATATGTACTCTGTAAATACCAGATTTGTCTTGCTAAAGCAAGAAAGAACAAGACCTGGTGCAAAAGAAAATATACTGACCTGGAAATCCATCATCATCAATGTCCCCAAGGGATGCCATGCTTTCCCCGAAGTGTGCGTTGTAGGCGTTATCGCCATCCAGAACACGTTGCTCTTCCATAACTCCCTAGCAAACAGGAAATAGGCCAAGTTAAGAAAAATAGAGGCTAGTGTTGAAAGATGCATGGCTGCTGGTGCTGGAGGAATCTCATATATATGTCCTTCAGGAAACACCTGGAACATATCTGGGATAAGATTCCTGAACTTCTGATCATATGCTTCGATCAGTGCAACTATTCAGATATTATAGAGAGGAGACCCATTTAAAATTTAAAAAGTACTGAATTGTTCCTGAAAATGGAATCTCTGGACCAGAGGTTGGATGCCAATTTTGTTACTACCTTCTTTGCATGCACAGAAGCATCCGGGTGGGTAGGCTGAGCCTCCCGCTGCCTCTACTACCGGTTCGGCTGATCCAGGCCAAACCGGCAGCAACCCAACTCTGCACTGGACTGAATCATTGCAAAGCCTAATACATGGCAAATCTAATTTATCAAAATCCAAAACATAGAAAAATCTCACAAATGTGAAAACCTCCATATACGTTATTGCAAAAAGCTAAATAGCTAGCAAAGTATAATACTTTTATTCTGTTCAGATGAACAGCTGGAAGGAAATTTTAGCATACAACATATTCAGCAAAATCTCCCATAATCACTGGAGCTGGGATAGATAAATCAGTTCAATTAATGTTAAAATAAACATGTTGATTCATCAGCTGCAGAAAAAATGTTATTTTTTTTGTTTACCCGCCAGTGAACCATACTGAACAGGATTGTTTTAGAAGAGGTATTCCCTTTTCTGTATAGCGAAACGGGATTCTCCTGTAGTATTAACAACAGCAGTAGGCATGCAACTATGTAAGAATATAGTTAATCAGGATTTCTTTAACAATGAAAGCCTTGAAAACAGACTGATAGTTGTAAATTTCCTGTAAAAGCAAGGGTTGAACTAAATGACTTTTGTAATTCCATTACATTCTAGGATTCTATATATAATAAATGAGATGAAAATGAAATTTTCCAAACCATGGATTTCTAATCTGAACCTTTACCATGGTTACATGCATGTTTCACTACAGTCTCTAACTTGTAGTATAGGTAACATTTATCATGGGCAAATTTTGGAACCGAGCATAAAAAATTAAGTCAGTAAATAGCTGTCCCATTCTAAATCTGAAAATTTCTGTCATCAGGTATAACAATGGGCTTAAACATTAAACATATCCAATCTTGAAATGCCCCATTCCCACTGAGAATCTGTAAATCTTGCTCTACCCATCAAGCGGCTCTCCTGCTTGATCCAGGGCTAATTCCCTCTCATCAGTTAACAAAGAAGAGAGCTGGGCAGCAGAAGAAACAAAGACTGTGCTGTAACAGTGTAGATGAACAGTGACTGGAACTGGGTGAGGTGACTTTATTTTTTACCTGAAACCTAAAGGAAATAAATTCTGGAAAAAGGACTCTTTGAAGAGAGAGAAAAATCATTGACCCAAAAGAAAAAAAAAGATATTAAGACAAAGTGCAAAACCTTTAAAAAAAGAAAGATTGGATCTCTAATTTTTATTGACAGTAAGGCATTTCAAAATGCTGGAATTACTTGTCAGAATTTTGATTATTTGTTTGAAAAATAAATGGAACTTGTTGGAATCTATACAATGTTGTTAAATAGAAGGCGCTATCTACTGGTGAATGGAATAAACCCTGAGAAAAATACTAATAAGACAGGAGAAAGTGGAAATAACATCTAGAGGACTGGTGTGATATCTATTGCTTTATATTTATCTATTCCATGACTACTGAAGCTCTAACATTGAAAATACTAAGTAAAGTGACTTTTAAATAACAGGAGATGATTGAACTTATGGCAAGGACTTAAGGAGACATTTGGAAATTGTCCTGGATTACCTAAAAAGAGCTAAATTGACTAACTGTGGGACATAAAGAACCATAATACTGTATTTCCGGAGAAGTAACATCAGGACTGAGTAAATGGTTTCCAGATTGACTTTCTGAGGGCAAAAATAATTGAGATAGAACATTGATAGACTACTGAGCAATGTTTGGATTTATCCAAAAAAAAAAAAAAGGCAAGATGTTTCAGCAGGGGAAAATGAGAGGGTTGCAAAAAGAATTGGTAGCAATGTTTCAAAGCATTCATGATACTATGACAAGGAATCACAGGGATATAATGGACTTAATGAATAACATAAATGGGAAGTTAGAAAGTGCTCCACAAGGGATAATGACTAATGATCAAAAGAGAAATAGAGGCGACAATGGAGAGACCAGGGGAAACGACAGAACTAAATAAACAAATAAAACAAGAAGAGAAAAGGGAAAAGGTAATATAAACTTACAAAGAACTCAGGGAAAATACATGCTAAATTGATACTAAATAAACAGAAAGATATCTTTGAAATGGAGAGTTGGGCAGATCCTCTGGAGGTATAGCAGCAAAAGATGGAAGAAATACTTAAATTAAACATTTTTTTCATTTTTTTCATTTCATTTTCACTTTATTTGTATGCCGCCCTTTTCCCTGGGGGGACTCTGGGCGGCTCACAGTTCAAAAGGGGGGGGAAGGACAAACAATTTACAACATGGAGACACTACATCATTTAAGAACACAACAGTCATACAATTCGAGTGGGGTTAGAATCGTTAACCCCAGNCGCCACCTGGTGGCCAACCAGTCTCTCCTCACCCTGCTCAGAGTCAACACCCTATCCAGGGTCCTCCACCTCCTCCAGGGCTGACTCATAAGACACCTCGCTGTTGGAGTCTGGCGGCAGCTCCAATGGCTCCTGCCGGGCCACAACAAGTATAGGAACGTGTTGATTTGCATAATCAATTCTCAACCAAAAATACAAATTCTTTTTGTATAAGATTTAGGTTTGGAAGATATACTAACACTCCCTCCCCCCCCCGCTTTTCATATGCACTGGATGATATTAAACTCAGAAAATACAGGATGTTTTCATCTTATTCATGTGTCCCTTTATTGAAACATTTCTGCACTTGAAATTTGTATGCAATAGAGAGACAAAAAGACACATTAAAAGATCAGAGACCAACAGTCTGCCCCCAGTGGCCTGGCAGAACAAAAAGTTCTTAGTGTTTTGCAAAATGGCAGAGCTCCCTGTATTTCTATGAATAAGAAGAAAGCAAAGTCTTTCCTAGTTACAGATATGCTCCTTTGAGGGAAATACAGCCTCATTAGGAGTCAATTTAG